TGGCCTGAGGTGCTTCTAATGCAGGATGCCTTCTTTGAGAAAAGGTCTTACATTTCTATGCTAATGAGCCCGAAGCTGGCTCCCTCCCATCCTACCCCTTAAATGCAAATGCAGAGCTTCAACGTGAAGCGGGGAGCTGTAGGCGTGCATTAACCCATCCGTTGTAAAGCCTCTGATTGAGATCAATTACTTAAACCAGCCCCACTTCATTTCCAGCTGAAAACCCACCACTAATGTCTGCTGGCTGCAGCCCCGGCCTGATGAAGCTATCAGTAGGAAAAATCAACATCACAGACAAAAGGTTGAGAGAGGAAGTAGGGGAGGGCAATGCACTGTACTGGGGAGGCTCATTTACTGTCTGTGGACTTTGTGCCTTGTGTTGTGCTGCATATGGCGTAGGAACATTTTGTAGGGGGAAGATCATCACATACAAAGACACACGCGCGCACACACACACACACACACACAGACGCTTGCTTCTGAAGAGACACCACAAACTCACAAAACTATCTGCTGTGCCATCCATATGGACTGTCAAACAGTAAGATGCTGGGAGAAGCTTCCTTTGCTTCTGGCCATCTCAAGATTGGGCACATCCAAGTTAAACTTGCTACTCTGAGTTGCTCCCCAAGTTTTCAGCCTTTGAGCTGCTGGAATGGCATAGGAACCTGGGCAGAGATGGGAAAGCGGGTCTTTCTACCACCTTGTCACCTGGGCTCTCCTTCCAGAAGGCCTCAAAATCAGCCCAGGGCACTTGAATGGGAGTCTCCCACCTTCTACCCTCCTCCATTATTCTCCTTGCTAGGCCCCTCCTTTCTTCCACTTTCCCCTTCCATGTTTTTGAGAGGAGACCAACAGATGCTCCGAAGGAGAAATAGAAGCAGAAGCACTGTTGAAATACACGAGCCAGAGCTGTTCAAAATTCCCAGGCGAGGCTAGATTTCCTGGTTTAGTCTTCAGTTCTCCAACCCTATCCTGATCAGTATTATTTTATCCATTTCACAGATGAAGAAACTGAGGCTAGGAGACAGTAACCGATCAGTGGCACTTTGTGACCTACAACTGTGTTCTTCCTGTGCTAGCAAATTGCCTCCAATTGCATGAGATTCACAGAATTTTGAGCTGCTATCTGCACTGGGCAAGCCGCAGGCCCAGCACAGGGGCAATGTGGCACTGAGCTTCTAAAGCTTTTCAGAGAGCACTGACCTGGGTGTCGCCCTGTGGTGGCAGTCTGGGCCAACCAGTGGGAACAGGACATGTTCCACTCTGAGGCTGTAACTCACAGGCTGATTTAGATAGTGGAAAGTGTTTCCCTGAGATAAGCAATGTGTCTTCAGAATGAATCGCCATCTTGCTTTCTCTTCTGCATGGTATTTTATAACTATCCATCTTTGATAATAGAATGCCACAATTAAGGTGAAATCCACATAGACAAATATAACAATATTTTGGTGTTTCCCATTCACCTTAGGACATTTTGGCTGAAAGCAGGCGAGGGCCCTGTCTAACACACACACACACACACACACACACACACACAGTCACAGGGGCACGACATGATCCCATATGACGTAGCTTGTCTCTTGCTTCTATTCTGTGATTACCTCTCCATTCACTCTATTTTGCTTTCTTTGTTCCTGGGAAATGATACTCATTCTCTCAGCTAAGGCATAATGGACAGAGAACTGGACCCAGAGCCAGAAGACCCAGGCCCTGTCTTGATATGCTTTGGTATATGTGTGGCCAGACCAAAAATGGTCTCAGGTTTTGAAGTTGGACACATTATCAATCCATGACTCTGAGACTCACCAGCTGTGTGACTGCAGGCAAAACACTTAACCACTCTGAAACTCGATATCCTCATCTTCAAAATAGCACTATGACTACTGGCCTTGCAAGATCAGTGTGAAAATTAAATAGATTGAAAAAGATTTAAAAACAACATGTAAAGTGGCAGGCACAGGGCTTGGTACTCTATACACCTTGTTTCCATCTTCCCTCTTAATCACTGTGTCTCTGACTGTCAGGATTCCCTTCAGGATAATATTTATCTCGCAAGATTCTTTTAAAGATGAAATGAGAAAATATACCCGAAAGTATTATGAAATAGTAAACTATTTTTAGTTAGCTCACTCACAGATTCACTCCATCAGATTATATTTCTTATGAAAGATTCTATGTTGATGTGGGTGATTTAGAGAAGAATCAGACACAGAATTTACCCTAAAGGAATTTCTAGGGGAATATACCCCATTCCCCTAGAAAAATATAGTACGAGGCAAAAATGAAAAGGGCTGGTATGTATTTACAAGGTTCAAAGACAACACGGAGGGACCTTCCAGATGGGGCCATCAGCCAAGGATCCATGATGGACTTGCTGTTTGAGAAGACACGTGGCAGAAGGGTAGGAGATGATGGGTAAAGGTAGCTGAGGTAAAGATCCAGCAGGGGTGAAGTCAGAGCACTGAGAAAGTGTGAGAAGATAAGGGAACCTAGACTATAGTTTCAGGGATCATTTGAGGGTTGTGGTTGATGAAGTGTGCAAAGATGGCTTTGGACCCACTCGTGGAGGAATTTGGACTTACGATGCTATGGACAATGGGGGAGCCACGGAAGGCTTCTGAGCGGGAGACTTATATGGTCAGAAGCTGTCTTCTTGAAGATGAATCCAATGGTAATGCCCAGGCAGGTTTGGCGTGAGGAGAAGCCGGCCCGCTTAGGAGTGCGTCATGACAGTTTCAGAAAAAGCCCAGACCCTGCATAGTTCAAAGGGGAGAATTAAGGAGGAAAAATATTACAGAGGAAATATGATAGAATTTAAGGGACCATGTCAGGGGTGGGTGGAGGGTGAGAGAGCTGAGGTTAAGGAAGAGTCCTGAATGCCACTAATGTCTTGGATGAGGAGAAAAGGCATCAGGGAAATCTCAAGAAGGAGCTGGACCAGGAAGGAAGAGGATATTCTCTCTATGTAAAAAGAAGAAGGAAATTAACTCACCAGAATCCCAGGCATCGGGGGAGGGCAGACCAGCTTTTTTGTGGGGCAGTGCTTCTCAACCTTGGCAATATTGATATTTGGGCTAGATCATTCTTTGTTGGGG